TTGGTGTGCTATCTCTTAACACAGTAAGTACCCTGCAATAAAATGAAAGTGTACTTCCTTCCATAGCTGAAGTCGACATTTACTCAGATACAGAAGCGTTTCACTTACGATTCATCTAAACCGTTACTTATTTCGAGCTTCAAGCTCGCCCCGCTCCTGCAGGTCCACCCGACAATAACATGTCTTCAAGCATTGGACCATTTGTGAGACTTTCATTCTTTTTACATACGCGGGATCTGACGCGACAGTCATAGGAGAACTAGTAGCTCCGACCTCTTAATACTCAGTCGAAACCCTGGACGTCCCGGGGGCGCTATTGGTCTACTTTCAATGACAGGTGTGTACTACGTTATGCCATTGGAGCCCATGTCTTGACGCTGAGTATAATCTCCAAGATATTCTTCAGGTAAGCAAGCGACTCTGCGCCCCTTACCACATGGTCTTATTCCTTCATCCTAGGCAATGCTACCGCCAAAGAACGGCAACAATGAGACTTCTCAGTACAATATGACCATGCGTGAAACATCTGGCATTTCAAACGGGTACGTCAATTCTTTAATCGGAGATCTGCCAGTGCTCGGTCATTTCTGATGAGGCGTAAAAACAGTTATCAACCTGTGCAGTGTGGTGAAAGGGCAATGCATGGATCGATTTCTACCCCATGTGAAACTTCGTATCTTCTGGGATCCCGCCTTCAAACGGATGAACGAATGACGAATGTTCGGCAAGGTCTGGATAAAACATGTGTTTTATGACAACGGCATTTGGAAATAAAATACGATTTTCTCGCGAACTCCTCCTCACCAGCATGAGATTCATATTATCTAGCGTGAGTGAGCTATACCCAGACTTGACGATCACTGCAGGAAATCATCCACGAGTTATCGCTCCCTCTAACAGAAAGGTGCGTGGCTATTATTCTCGAACGAGACCCATTTGACTCTGGTACTTAATTCCGTCGAAGAAAGGCTTGACGACATACCATTGTTTTAAGATCCTTGTAATAAACAGGGCGACGGCGACCTGGGTACAGAGTAGGATCACCATCAGGTCCGAAATGTATTGTATCCATGTGGGAATGGCTTGACAGTGCGGCCATGAACAAAATGGAATTTGAGCACTAGGAGCGCAGTGTAGAACTTGAACCTTTGTGGTCCCTTTATGCTTGCCGTGTATTTTGTAAGCTTGAGAGGCGTTGGGGATGAAATGATTTGGAAAATTCTGAATCATAAACGGATCGCCCTCCAGACTGCTTTACCAAAACGACTGGCCTGCCAAGTTAGCTGAGCGCTGACGGCATGATGCGTTGTTGAATCAATCGTGAGAAGCGATCGCCGACGGCATGGAAACATAAGCGAACGTCGCTTCGAACAATGAGCACGATCAATTTTATTGTTGACCTTGTTCATCCTTGTTCTAGCTTGTTCTCCAAATGCCCTCATCTTTGTTCTTC